CCCCACCTCCACTACTACAGACGTCACTACATACCCCACCGGCAGTGACGCAGCGTTCCCAGAAATATTTCCGCCGCCGTCACCGTCACAGTATTTGTCGCCGACGAACGCAGCAGCGATCGTGTTCGTTTCTACCCCCTCCCCCCCATTTCCCACCGCTTCTTATTGTATACTATTGGCCGGCCGTGTTTTTTGTTAATATCCGATATCAGTTGTGATAATATAAAATGTGATTACAATTAACGGCTAATGTTATCGTACAGGTGATAACACATTTGAAAACATAACGAATATTCGGTTTTTGATAATAACCGATACCAGTTGTGATATCAAGTATCCGTTAATATTATCATACAGGTGATAATACATTTGAAAACATATTATTGATAATATTTAAAATAAATGCAATATCTGGCTAAGAATCGAACTGGAGATGATTAGGATGTTGTATCCACTTAGTTTCTTACATCTATTAGTAAATTTGATAATATTTAAAATAAATGCAAGGATATAACAATTCTTCACTATCATGATATATACAAATTTAATTATTACTATATTAAATTTTCATATATACGAAAAAAAAAACATTTTGAATACGTGCCACCGACGTAGCGTTCCCTGAAATATTAGCCGACTAATACTTAAAAGAATATATTAAAATGCGATCTTACGCTTATAATTAATTGAAAATGTATACATTTTCTAAGAATCGATCGCCCAGTGGGAATTTAGCATAAGGAATATGTTGATTCAACTCTTTTGGTTGCTCACTCGACGCTCGGCTGGACGACGCATTTTAGTAATTGAGTAGTGTTGTTATATTAGTGTCAATAAGCAGATCCTCTAGGATTATTTTTACCTTGATGTTATTTTTTAACATTTTAATAATATATATATTCTGAATAAGTCTTGAACAGTCGTGCATATATTTTTCGTTCCATCTTTTAAAAAAAAAAATTTATTTTATTTACACCTAACATAGTGTTTTTATATTTTCATATAATTAAAAAAATGTTTAATTGCGAGCAGTGTGCTATTACTTTTACACGTATATACAATTTTATCGCTCACCAAAAAAAGCATTCGGGTGTACGATTTCCATGTACAATTTGCTCCTCGTCATTTTCATACAAAACCGGCCTCAGCAAACATATGAAGAACATTCATGGTACGTATTTATTGTTTATATGATTTATTTTTGAATCAATATTAATTTTTAAAAGGTATCGTCAACGTTCCGGCTTATCGTCAACCTGTTGCACCGATTGTTGCTCAACCCACTCGACAGAGTGTCATACAGTTTGCGCCTCGTATTTTCCGTCATGTTAACCAAGGTGATATACAGATCGCACCTCAAATTTTTGTTCCCGATATCCCGGCTGGCGGATCGAATGAGTTATCCGAGGATGATTTGTGTATGATTGCAATAGACGAATATGAGAAACATGACACTATTACAGGTTAGTTTTATTTTTCAAACCCAAATTAATTAGATTTTTTAAAAGATCCGGTGACTTTAATTTATCCATCATGGATTTTTACACAAAGACATACGTCATATTATATTTTAAAAGATAAACCAATTTATTTATCACTTGCGAGGCTAATTAGATTTTTAATAGAATTCGATACTATACCCACATAGCATTAAAATATTTTCCAAATATAAAAAAAATATTCTCAGGAAAATGATTTAGTTGGCAAAATATTTTTGAGATCATCGTTAAAAAGTTGCATAAATAATTAGAAAATAGTTCAGCAATATTTTTTTTTTTTTTTGATCAGGAATTTCACATTTTTTAAAATAATTTAAAACAAGATTTATAAAACATTTTAACTAGTCAAATTAAAACAAACCCGTACTGAACTCGTCAAACATCGTTGAGGTAAAATTATATCAACTTAAACATATTATATATAATAATTTTGAACAAATATTGTTTTATCAACCTTTGAAAAATATTTTAAGGATATTATAATTTTCCAAATGCTGTGTGGGTATTTTATTTTCATTAGATATTAATTAGGTTCTTTTGTTTAAAATATACTTATACCACATCAGTTAACGGGAAACGCGTTTCCACCACGAATACCACGTCGGTTGTTAGAGCAAAAAAAGTGAGGATAGATATGGTGAAGACCCCTGGGTTAGCGGAAATCTCGTCATCAGCCGCTCGAAAAGTCACTTGGTACTTCGTAAAAAATTTGAATAATGTTTAAAATTACATCGACTTTCTCCGTCCACTCAAACCGGCTCTGTCAGTCACACTAAAAACTCGCGTTCAGGAACATCCAATAAAATTTAGTTTGAAACTCAAGGGCACCGACCTAACATCGCAAACTCGTCCGTAAATAGAGCGTTTAAAACATCGGTGGTTGAAGTTTTTTCGGAAAGCAATATTGATGAGATTATTGAAAGGGCTTATATTAAGTTACTTTCCGAGGAAGAAACTTATACCGGTAGAGGAAGCCGGTTTACCATAGAGTATATAGACGGGTTATTGCTAGGTATATATAAATATATACCGATGACTACATCATCATATATAGAGTTACCGGCATATATAGATAGGAAACGAGCTACAATAAACCCTCAAAACGATGATCAGCAATGCTTCAAATGGGCGATTTTGGCGAAGCACGTGACTGGGTCAAATAAACATCGTGTCGAGGAAAATTATAGACAACAAGAGAGTAAATATAATTTTGAAGGTGTATCGTTCCCGACTCCAATATGTGACCTGAAGAAATTTGAAAATAATAATCCGTACGTCACTGTGAATGTTTATGTACTCGAAAAAAAGTTTCAGCCGCCTAGAAAATACCCGACATATGAGGTGTACCTTCTACGCGTAGTAGACGAGGAGAAAATCAACCATTTTGACCTGTTGTTGGTGATGGACGGAGAAAACTCACATTACGTGTATATTTCGAATTTCTCCCGTCTGATACGTGCTCAGGAAACCGGACACGATGGACGTGTTGTGTTCTGTAAAAGGTGCTTCACGTAATTCAATGATAGGTGTTATAAATTTAAGTTGAGCCGACAAGAGGCTTTCTATGGATCCGCCCCTGTACAGCTCATTTTTTTTTCGAATTCCGTTCGTTCATCGGGTTCAGCAACAATACATATCAACAAAATGTAATCGAAATCGGCAGCAAAGTCACGAAATTTTTGTCGGTAGACTTTGTATGATGCTAATCCTAATTGCAAACAGCCCAAGTTGCTGGGTAATTTACGTCTTTTTAACATTCGTTTGAGTGGTGGATATAACCTCATTATACACATTTGGGCGTATAATGACAATAAGTGCTCGTATAGCCGTGGTTTTGACATCTTAAACATTGAACTGGGGTTTTTTTTCGAATGTGACAGATCGACATTATTATTAGTATAGCATATTTAATCAACTATATAAATATTTTAATTTGATGGTAAGGGCTCCAGGTCCACAAAAAATAGTTTAAGTGGATTTTTAGTTTTGTATTGGAGACAATTTGTAATTCAACGAGTGGTGAAATCAAGAGTATGAATTTGTCCTTTCATGTAGGTAGTTGGTGTAGTATAAAGGAGGTGGCGAATCACTACTAGGAAAGATTTTTCCACATTTGATTGGAAAGTATGAAAGTTCATATTATTTGTTTCTAGTTGCTTTATAGTTTATCTGTATGCATTTATTGAAATACGTCATAAATTTTAAACCAGGCGAAGAGCCTTTAGTGTTAAACTCTTCAGGTTCACTTAGAAGCTTTATTTTTTTTGCAAAATTCTAAATAGTCAAAATTATCTTTTATATGTATATAGGCGGTATTTTGGTTGGAACGTTGGTGTTTTCTTGGGATTGCATTTCAATTTCATTTACGTTGGTTTTTTTGTTTTCGGTGAGGACGAGAAACGATTCTGACTGGAAGAAAATTTGTTTTTTTTAATTTTTGGTTTAGATGAATAAAGTGAATTCATCGGTACTGTTTACCAATTATTTGGGCTGACGTTGTTTTTAATTATTTTTATTGGAGAAACTGATATGTTATTTTTTGAAGATTGTTGATGGTTGGGAGATAGTGTTATAGGTTTGTTAATTGAACTCATTGTTCAAAGTCCGACTTTTTGATTTGAAAATTTATATCAGTGTGCAAACAATGCAAATAAATAATCATATTAACTACGTGATTAACAACGATTCTCAGGTCACCGAGTCAGAGACTTTTAAACATAATTGTTTAAAGTTCTAGAAAATTAAGATATTATTACGTAAAATACTACTGCTCTTAGACTTATTTCCTATCAAAAACTTAAGCATTTAATTTTTTTCGACTCCCCATCCTCCAAACTAAGGTGTGGCCGTCACCACACCTTTTGTATGGGTTCGGCGCCACTGGTCCAGACATTATGGTTAGTTAAATATTACTACGGAGAATAATACCAAAATTAACACAAATAATTGAATTCTTCTCTTTTTTTTCCTTTAGAGTTAATCACTTTACTTACACATTTACATTGTATTACACAAATATCACATGAAAAGAAAAACGAACCTTGTTTATGAAGAGCTCGTGTTTTTAAAACCATCGACATTTGTAACAGCACAAACATTTGTAAATATTATTTTAGTCGTATGATTTTCTACCGAAACAGATATCTGAATAATAATACATTACTCTATTTAATCTTAATCGTTTTCTAGAAAAGGTTGAATTAATTAAAATCCATGTGGTGCATACTGATCTGAACAAAAAAACTTGGTATCTGTAAGAGGTAAAACATTTTTTAGGAAGAACTAAATGACGGAGTTTGATAGGTACATCCAGTCCGAAAGAATAACATTTTATTTATTATTATTAAACTAATAAATCTGATTTCAAGTTACGTATTTTTTCTACACTGGCCATTTACGATATGAATTACGTATTTTAAACGTTACCCAGCAAATATATTGCAAATTAGTTATAACTGTTGAATAAATTGTTTCAATAACATTCGACATTGCCTTGCGTAACAACGATTTCTTGTCCTAATTTTACGTCTAGGTATCTCAAGTGTTAACTCATCGATAATATCATCATCATCAACTAATATCAACAAAATGGGATTGACTACCAGGTAAACGAAACTATACGACATTATCGTAACACGTCGTGCGGTTCAACAATAACGCGCCGCCGCGCGTGAGATGCATGATGTTTATGTATTTTTTTCAGTTCCGATCGCCGTAGTGCTCCTGCTCAAGAGTTGAACAGGAGCGACGAGCGATTACATTTGATGGCATTTTGTTTCATCTGTGGATGGCCACAGTTCCTGGTCTGGCTGACAAAAGACCAAGGTGAGTACGGTTAAGGTTCTATTTTCGCTACGACAACTTTCGATCTCCGTTCGGGTTTTCTTAACGTATTTCACTCGTACTTTTCCCGTATTAGCCCGTAGAGGTTTTGCGCATCATGGTTGCTGTGCCAGACCGACAGAACCGCGAGACAACCCAATGTCTCATGATAACGTCGGTGGTCGATCGGCTCCCAGTCCCGCAGCCTTTACGGATTGCGGTTCGCAAACGAACCCCGTGTCCGTCACCATTCCAGCGGCAAACCACGACTTCGCGTGCGGAAACTCCTGCGTTACGTTCGTTGACGTGTTCACCCAAACTTACCCGTCCGCCGGGGAAGTCGCATCCCACGTCAACGAATCTAATGAGGAGACGCATTCCGCATCGATACATTTAGACGACGAAGACGAAATCGTTCCGTACGTTCTTCCTAAAATGGAAGAAAATCGTGCAAAAGTGAGTGCAAAACTACATTACCAATAATTATTTACGGTCATGTTCAACGCAAATGGGCCATTTGCCCCCTTCCGGATTCTGCATATTTTTCACGTACGCGATACGACTCGTTTTAGTACGCAGTGTAGTTGTAGAACATTAACATTTACGCTTTTCATTTGTCGGGACCTAAGTTTGTTTCCCACAATCGCACACATGAATATTTGAGTGGATTTGAAAAAAAAAAAAAACGTTATCATTTCAATACCTTGTGAACTTGAGGGCAGTAAAATAATTTGCCGCTGACCGTTTGCAACAGTCGATTACGATAAAACGGTCGCTAATAGTGTAACATCAAATGAACAAATACATATAACACGATACTAATCAACAGGATGTTATCTAATATATACATAATTATATGCATGAACTCTCCAATGTTTACTAATTATGACATACTATTCCCAGGAATTGAACGTTACCTACAAATTGTGGGAAAATCGGTTTTCACAATTTTCAAAATTTAACGACGGTATCATAGCAGACCCAGGTATTTTAGATAGACGAACGTCTTTAGTTATAGTATCGACTCCGTTTGTGTTTTCATAATTTTACGATGTTTACAGTAACTCTTTACTCCGGGCCTCCAGAAGTTTTGGCAAAACTTATGGCTTCCCGGTGTAAGTCACTGGGTACTGTCATAGACCCGTTTTGCGGTTCCGGTGCGATCGCGATCCAACTGGCCATGGTTTGTCGCAAAGGTATATTGCTCACATCATAAAAATACAATTATTGTCATATTATTTTTTTTTTTATTTTATTTTATTATGGCTTTGACAAACTGAAAACGTTATTAACGTTGCGATAATTACCTTCGCGTAGTATTCAGTTCTAAGTCATGTTGGATGTGAAATAATATTGTTGTAGGCGTAATTAACGCGGTAATAAAACATGACGTACAAAATCACAAAATCACGCGTGGTAGTGCGTTATTTTTGGCGTTCAGATAATGGTGAAAGAAGGAATACTTACGAATACTTACTTATACGAGTATGAATAAATGTTAATAAAAAAATAATTCGCTTCCTCTTTTGTTGACTTTCGGTTAATGCGCATAAAAGTAAAAGTTTTTCTTCGTCTGAACTAGCGTACGTATTTTCAATACAAACCACACCTCGAAAACGTACGAACAATACGATAAAATATAATATAACGAACAATATCGACTAGGTATTAAGAACCATTCTAAAATACGACGCTTCTTGGTTTCTGTGTCACGAGGATAACATCTGCGATAGCATTAAAAACGCGACGTTAATAACGCGCTCTGTTTGACGAGGCCTTTAGTATTGTATTATATCGTCATGTATACTAACATTGGACGCGTAACGGTTCTCGTTCTTTGTACAGTCATTGCGATGGACAGTGACCCGGTCAAAATCGCGTTCGCCCGAAACAACGCTTGTATCTATGGGGTCGAGGACCGAATCATTTTCCTAGTGGGTGACTTCTTTGAAAATGCACACTCGCTGCAGAAGGCAGACGG